TCACATGCGACGCAGTCGGTCGAAATATGTGCGTCGACGAATTCTGAAAATTCACGATCGGCTTATTTGAAAGCTTATGCATTTCGTAAATCGTGAATTTTCAAATTTGCACTACTCAACTTGGCAACGTGTGCTGTAAAAGATTCTAACCAATGACATTGTTAGAAAATTTCATATGACCAAACGGAACGATGCCTTGAAATGTCAAATTTGAAATTGTTTAATGTAAACAACTTTTTTTGATTATTTCCGTGCATACAGTTTCGTGTTTAGTTGGAGTTTTTCGTATTTTTTTTTGATATCTTAGTTTATTCTTTCGCTAAATTCGTCGACGCAAGATTGCATTTGACATGCGTCACCTCTAGAGCTCGTGCATTTCCAAATTGCACGCGAAAGTTATTAAAAATTTAAGTTTAGTCGACTAAGAATACCTATTCTTGGCCTCGTGGAATTCGAAAATATTGTTAATTTAAATGCTCTAGAAAGGGCCGAATTGTATAACCATAACCGCAAAGGCTTCAGAAATCCAAGAATAGATTAACAATGCTTGGGCAATGACGGGGAATTTATAAAAAACTTTTGACTTTCAAAAGAATGTTTAGAGATTCCTTCCATGAAAAGCAGTTCGAAAATTTTCCCGACAAAAGGGGCGGATATTTGTGCAAAAATTCGACCAAGAGTTCTTTTTGTTTTTTGGTAACAAATCCGGACCTTCTCTTATTGGCACTTGCCTCCGCACTTTCCATCCTTTTTGCGGTATTGGATGGACAATTTTCAGAATTCGTCGACGCACATATTTCGACCGACTGGGGGGGTTTATTTGAAATCCGTGCAAATCTGTCACATGCGACGCAGTCGGTCGAAATATGTGCGTCGACGAATTCTGAAAATTCACGATCGGCTTATTTGAAAGCTTGTGCATTTTGTAAATCGTGAATTTTCAAATTTGCACTACTCAACTTGGCAACGTGTCCTGTAAAAGATTCTAAGCAATGACATTGTAATAATTTTCTTTATTTAGCACTTGGCTAATATACATTATTTTTTACAATTTCACAAAAAAGACTAATAAAAAAAACTTAAAACTAAAAAATAAAATAAAGAAACAAGTGTTATACAAATTTGCTCCCTATGCTACACCTATTTAACTGACCTAAATTAAAAATTCAACCTTATGCCAATACATTTCTTATCATTCCCCTATTAAGTGTTTTTTCAATTTTGTTTTGAATAAATTTAATTTTGAAATATTCTTGATATGATCAGGTAAAGAATTAAACACAATCAAGCCCTTGTGGAATACCGCTTTCTCAGTACTTGCTCTATTCTTTTTTGTTACATAAAAATTGTGTTTGCTTCTTGTTGGGTATGTATGTACAGTTTCATTTGTAACAAGTTTCTCTGATAAGTAGTTGGGAGTTAAACGATTTTTTATTTTATAGACAAGTATTAATATCTGATATTGTAAAAATACTTCCACATATAGCCAGTTTAGTTCCCTTTGCATATTTTTTATGGGTGTATCCCTTTTTGCAGCTAATATAATTCGCATACTCCTATTTTGAAGTTTTTGTAACCTATTCAGTTCATTCTTATTGGCAAGATAGAGTATAGATGAACTAAAAACAAGATGTGGCAGGACCAGTGTATTGAAGACAGCCACCTTCGACCATCGTGACAGGAACGGCGACACTCGCGACAAAAAATTAACGTTTTTGGTTATTTTGTCAATTATATACAATGCATGATCCTTAAAAGTCAGATGATTATCCACAATAAAACCAAGATATTTAGTTTTTTCTACTACCTCTAAAGTAGTGTTTTCCACTTTTATACTCAAGTTACTCAATTTAAATTGTTTTTGAAATGTATCACTCCCTATAAGCATAAATTTTGTTTTTTGTATGTTTAACTTTAATGACATGCTATTAAACCACTTGTGTAGTTGTGCAAGCTCCAAATTAATAGTTGCTTGCTTGCTTGTTTTAATGGCGCTGCTACTGAGGCAATTTGCCAGCACGATTTCGTGGCGACCCTGATGTTGTCTGGCTCTAGGCCATATCATAGGTCCCCTATTTATTTCACTCTTTTCTTCTATCTTCAATTTTTTTTTTTAATGTGAAAGGCACATCCAGGATTTGCCTAGATCAATCGCTGAAACCGGATATAACCATTTTCTGTCAAAACAAACAGCGTTTTCACGAGTCTCAGACTCTGGCCGCCATTTTGCCAACGTAACCACGCGTGAACCTTCTGTTTATCTAGGAATCTGAGCCGGCTTAGTCAAAAAGACGCAAACAAATCCACGGATGGCGATGAATCTCGGTTTTTACTCGCGGAGGTGAGCCAAAATTTGGTCTCTACACGCCTCTAGTGCACCACCCGGTGAAGCTCTTTGAGCTCCTTAAACCAACCGCCCACACTCTGGCGAGGACAAAACGAGACTGCAAATTAATAGTTTCAGTTAAATGATTCAAATCATTCAAACTGAAACATAACAATGTGTCATCTGCGAACATATGTATTGAACAATTATTAATCTCTTTAACTGCATCATTAATATAAATTAAGAATAACAATGGGCCCAATGTACTTCCCTGTGGTACGCCGCTGGTATTTGATAGTTCTGAAGATATATGGTTATTTATTTTTGTTACCTGCTTTCTATTATTCATGTAATCACTAAGCCAGTCCAGTGCTCTATTATTTATGCCAATTTGTTTTAATTTCATTATCAATGATTCTCTATCTATTGTTTCAAAATTGTTAGAAAATTTCATATGACCAAACGGAACGATGCATTGAAATGTCAAATTTGAAATTGTTTAATGTAAACAACTTTTTTTGATTATTTCCGTGCATACAGTTTCGTGTTTAGTTGGAGTTTTGTGTTTTTTTTTCTTGATATTATCTTAGTTTATTCTTTCTATAAGTGTAGGCAATACCGCAAAAAGGATGGAAAGTGCGGGGGCAAGTGCCAATAAGAGAAGGTCCGGATTTGTTACCAAAAAACAAAAAGAACTCTTGGTCGAATTTTTGCACAAATATCCGGCCCTTTTGTCGAGAAAATTTTCGAACTGCTTTTCATGGAAGGAATCTCGAAACATTCTTTTGAAAGTCGAAAGTTTTTTATAAATTCCCCATCATTACTTAAGCATTGTTAATGCATACATCTATTCTTGGATTTCTGAAGCCTTTGCGTTTATGGTTATACAATTCGGCCCTTTCTAGAGCATTTAAATTAACAATATTTTCGAATTCCATGAGGCCAAGAATATTCTTGGTCGACTAAACTTAAATTTTTAATAACTTTCGCGTGCAATTTGGAAATGCACGAGCTCTAGAGGTGACGCATGTCAAATGCAATCTTGCGTCGACGAATTTAGCGAAATGCGTCGACGAAAGTTTCAAATAAGCCACATGTGCATTTTTTTGTATTTCACCGGTAAAAATTGCGACTTAGTCAGACGTATTTGAATTGCACGTTTTAAATAAACCCCCCCTGCTGTATTTAATATACTTTCCACACAAAAAGTCGTAAAAAAGTTCATCTTTCAACTCTCATATCTCAAAGACCGTAATATCTACAAGAGTTCGTCCCATTTAAATGTTGTTAAAAATTAAATCCTCTACAACATATCAAAAAATGGGCAAAATCCATAGAGCCCAAAAATCCCATGTTAGGTGTGCGTTATCCGAGGCGTTATCCTTTCAAGAGGTAAATATGTTGGAAAAAGCTCAGCCAAATATAGAAAAACTATATATTTTTGGACTCGGAAAACTTTGCTCTTCAAGAATATTTCTTCAAATCAATTCTAAATTTTTTCAGGTGGTGAGTTCCCTGTTTCCCAGTGTTGCCGGACCTGAAAATTCTCATTACCCTTTCCAATCTCACAAAATACCCAATTTTACCCGCACATTGAAACTGAAAACTGCGAATTGAATGTATTCGCATCTTTTTCTAAAATTATGTGAAATAAAAGGATAAAGACACATTTTGCACTGATTCTGCAAATGGAAATCGCTATCAGTTCAATTTAGGCGGCGTTCCGTATCTTAACCAGAGTTACCGATTGGTATGGAGCGGTTCGTCTATGGTGACTGGTGACAGTCTGGTTCCTGAGAATGCGGTTTATGTGTGGAACCGCGTTTCATAACCTAACCAGATTTCGGGAGTGGTTAGGTTACGGAACGGGAACCGAAAAAACCAAGAATCTTGGTTAACTTACGGAACGTCGTCTTAGTTTGCCGTCTACACAGTTGCACTTTCAATTTCAATGTGAAAATCTGGCCCGCGTATTCAGAATTTCAAAATATTATTTAAAAATAAAAAATAAAAGAAGAATAGTGCTGTATTTCCAGATTCCCCGATTTTACCCACATAAATATTTTACCCGAATACTAGTCGGAAATACCCGATTTTTGGGGAATTACCCAGCCAAGGGCAGCATTGCTGTTTCCTGTTCCGTTCCCTTTAAGTACCTACCCCAATAGGTCTTCCGCCAACCATGCATCATGAATGTGATTTCATTTAAATATACATGTACAGATTACAGATACAAGCTCTAAAAAGCAACAGGCAATCGGCTACAATTACAAAGTATGAACAAAGCTACAAACTTTTTCTTTTATGATGTGTAGTAGGTATTCAAATTCAAATTCAAATTATTGAATAGAAAATACCAAAAAAAAGTATATTTCTTACCTAGAGCTTTCTAGCCCTTTTCCAAGTTCAAAATACAAACACAAAACATATAACAACACTAAAAAACGGTGTTTGTATTTACGTTTTTTTTTTCTTCAAGGATTTTCTTTGTGCTAACATTCATGTTTATTTCTCTTTCAAGGAAAGAATGAAAGAGACAAAACATAAAAATCACAATAATCGGAGTACGTCTTTTCTAATTTTTAATATAGGCCGTTGCTACGTTGCTACTTGTTCTTTTTTAGGCAGATCTTACTACAACCTAACCTTCAACAACAAAGGACTTTAGGTTTTGTTTTGTTGATATGATATTTTTGATTTGAGGAATGTGATGTGAATCCCTTTCGATTTTTCTCATTAATAATTTTTAGATAATTATTGTTATTTTCTTGCATAGAAATGGAATTGAATAATAATTTAATTGGCGTTCAAAGCGTTCTTGCGAACTGCGTGAAACACACCGGAGAGTTTACAAAAATTAATTATTCGTCAGGTAAGTTCTGTTTTATGTATCATAAGTTGAAGATTTGTTTTTTTTTTTTGAAGGAATGGAAGGCTTCGAAAAATTATACCTGTGTTCTTGTAGTTTTTTTTATAAAATTTATTTCACCATTAAATACACGAAATAATACAAAGTTAATCTACATAAAATACATTCAGTGAACTTTCAAAAAGCCGGTAGTCAATATATAAAATAAGCTAAAATGGACCATCAGCAAGTCATATCCAGTGTAGTGTAGGAACTTAGTAACTATGTAACAAATCTGGAACTGAATTTTAAATAAGCCTTGAAGGCTTGAAATATGCTTCAGCATCAAAAATTAAAATTTCATTGATAAAGGAATTGGACCTACATACAAAAATATAACATACAAGGTAGGTATATGCTTTTCACTTATTATTGGAGTAGCATTATCCATGGAAATTTGGCAGGTTGACCCTCGTATAATAATGACAGTATATATGTCAAATCAAATTCCAGACGGCTTTAAGTGTGGTGTACATAATTTCGTAAGTGCCGCGGTATTAAAATTTTCTGGCCTATCTGGCAAATCAACTTTGACACATTTAATCAAATCAATCAATCAAAATATACTTTATTTTCTACTTTACTATTAAAGATCCATAATACCTAGGAAACGAAATATGTTAACCAGGGTTGCCAGATGGTTATAACTAATTTCCCCCAAAGGATTTCAAAAATACCCCAAAAATCACTGTTTGTCAACTAAAATCCCCCAAATAAATAAATATAGATTTATTCTCGACTCATACTTGCAAAAAAAAAAAAAAGACAAATTCGTTAAATATTTTAAAATAAAACTCATACCCTTACCACTTTTTTATTTGTTTATATTTTTCTAATCCCAAAAATAAAATGACAATTGACAAATGACAAATGAAATAAAATGTTGTGACTGGTGACAGAACAGATAAGTACAGTTGTACCAAGAAGTTTGGATAGTTTATTATTATATTATTAAGCTGTATTAAAATTTAGAATACAGCAACTTAGAGCACTACGCACTATAACCGCAAAGAAATGCAAAACGCAAAATAAAAAATAAACAATGCAAGCAACGTCGGTCGTTGGGGATTCCCCCGATCCGATTTGTCAAGTCAACTGTCATTTGTCATTACAAATTAAAATAGATCTAGAACTGAGCGTTTGCGTTCCTCTCGAGAAGAAGCAAACTGTATCATTTTTATTGGAACTTGATTGAAAAAATAGATGGCGCAGTTGTTTTAATACATTTTTTACTTTAGTTTTATTCATTGAAATATACCCAATTTCCCCCAATAGCGAAAATTCTTACCCCCAAAAAATCCCCTAGAAAAAACTATCCCCCAGATTTTCCCCCATCGACTTGAAAATCCCCCAAATTTGGGGGAAAATCCCCCAATCTGGTAACACTGACGTTAACACACCTATAACAACCTGATCCATAACGCCCGCTTTTGCGGGCGTTATGATCTATAACGCCCGCTTATAATACCTTAAGGTGTTTTTGCTGTTGTTGTTCTATTAATTTGCACTTTACCCTAGGCAGCCACTAAATGTCTGACCGAAAATAATTTTCGGTCTAGCCAGGATTCGAACCCGGTCTACCATCAACGTTTCCCATGTAGACCAGCGCGTTAACCCACAGGACCACCACCGTTGCCTTGCCTTATGAGATGTTTATAGATATATTAATTTATTTCGTTTCTATGTACAGGTCGCAGGTACAGGTACAGGTACAGGTACATGTCAAAATACAAAACAATATTCTGTCACACAAGTTTAACTGATTTTGTTAATAATAAATTGATGAAAAAACATTGTGTTGAGTAGAAAATAAAGCATTGTATGCACCACGGGGATTATAAGATTATAATGCCCTTCAGGCGAAATATATCCCTCGGGCCATAGGCCCTCGGGCTAGTTTCGCCTTCGGGCATTATAATCTACATAATCCCCTTGGTACATAAATAGCTATTATTGTCGGAAAATAAATTTCATTGACAAAGCATGATCTTAAATAATCTGCAAGTAATTAAAAATTATCGGGTTATAAAAAAAAAGAGGTACAATCAATAAAATAAAAAATAAACATAAACATAAATGTCAAAGCATAATCCTAAGCAACACATGTACAATTTTTACTCGAATTTTTACTACATCAAACTATAGAGTCATATAGAAGGTACAGCCAATACAGAAAAAACATAAAGGTTGCGGTCAGAATAAAACAAAACAATGAAACAAACAAAATTAAAATTTTTCATTTAAAAATTCATTAATATGATAGTAGGCTTTTCCATGTAAAAATGTTTTGAGCTCTAGTCTAAACTTTTTAAAACCACCTATCTGCCTTAAGTTAACAGGCAGATGATTAAAAATTTGCCTACTTTTATAAATTAGTGAATTTTGCGTCAATGCAGTCTTGAGTATAGGAAGCTGAATTTTAAGAAGTTGCCTAGTTGGATAAGTTCTTGGATATTCTAACTCATCATAATGTTTTTTGTGCATAAGGCAAGCAGTTTCCATGATAAATATATAGCATACTGTAAGTATTTTATGTTTTAAAAATAGTGGCTTGCAATGCTCCCAATATCCAACCTTACACAAATAGCGCACTGCCCTCTTTTGAATGACAAAAACAGAATCAAACAATTTATTAGAACAGTTACCCCAAAATGCAATGCCATACCTGATATGAGACTCAACCAACGAGAAATAAACCAACTTAGCAGTATTCAAACCAAGTTCATTTGACGCTATTCTTACAGCATAGCAACCACTTGCCAATCGTTTGTTTAGATTTGTAACGTGCTCATTAAACTTAAGTTGAGTATCAACATGAACACCAAGAAATTTACAGCTAGTTTTATTTTCAATTGTGTGTGTGTCTAATAATAAATCATCAAAAAAAAATTTAAATATCAATATGTTGGTTTTCTTAGAGTTAAAACAAAGCAAGTTAGAGTCACACCAGCTCTTTACAAGATTTAGGTCTTCAGAAATAATCTTTTTCAACTCTTCAATATTTTTTCCGTTTCAGGACAGAGTAATGTCATCAGCGAATGATGTTATTTTAGCTCTAATGGGGAGGTGATTAATATCATTTAAATAAAGTAAAAACAATATTGGTCCCAACACAGATCCTTGTGGAACACCATTGGTCACAGCCAAGTTTGATGACTGAGTATCACCAATCTTAACAAATTGTTCTCTTCCCGAGAAATAAGATTCAAACCATGAGTATGAGATTCCTCCGAAGCCATAAATTTCTAGTTTTTTAAGCATTATTTTATGATTTACGCAATCAAAGGCTTTAGAGAAATCACAAAACACAACGGCGACAAGCTCACTTTCATTAAGACTGACAAATACCTGTTCCAAAACATTGCATCATGGGTGCCCTTTAATGGTTGGAATCCAAATTGAGTGTCACTTATTATGTTGTGTTTTGAAAAATATTTTAACATTATTTCTTAAACTAACTTTTCAACTATTTTTGACAACGTCGAGAGAAGTGATATTGGTCGATAATTACATGGGTTGTCCAATTCGCCACCCTTATAAAGAGGCAACACAATAGCTTTTTTCAGGCAGTCTGGAAATACTCCTGTTAAAAATGAAATATTAATACATTCAGACAAGACATATAATGCATTATCAGGCAAGTTTCTAAGCAAATTTATTGAAACATTATTGTGCCTACTGGATTTATTGTTTTTTATTCCTCTAAAGATTTCATTAAGTTCTAATATGTTTGTAGTTTCCAGTACAAATGTGTCATTTATTTTAACATCCAATAAATAAGAACCAGGATCCACATTACTTTTCAAGTTTTGTTGTAAAGTATCAGCAACACTACAGTAGAAGTTGTTGAGAATATTGGGATCTAATTTAACATCTGTTTGAAGAACTGAGTTTTTACCAGTTAACTGATTAATTATTTTCCAGTTTTCTTTGCTGGCATTTTTGGAGGAGTTTATTCTATTCTGATAAAACTTTTCCTTAGCTGATTTTAAAACACTTTTGTAAATTTTTCTATATCTGCAGAAATAACTTATGAACTGAGGACGATCAGTAAATTTGCGAATGTTTTGTAACGAACCCATGTTTTTTGATGAAACTTTAATAACGGGAGTAATCCAAAGTTTACTTTTCTTTTGCTTAATTTTTTGTAATGGAAAAGATTTAAAAAATGCATCAGTTACTAATTTTTGGTATTCGTTTAGTGGTGATTGACAATTCAAAACTGCTGGCCAATTTAATTCCTTGCAAATATCTTTAAATTTTTTATAATTGTTGCTGCTAAGTAGTCTACCAACTTTATATTTTGGTGGTTTATTTATCGCAAGTTGAAATTTTGCTTATACTGCCTCGTGATCCGAAATGCCTACAGGAATTACACTAAAGCTAACAAACATTTGCTTTAAGACAAAATTTGAACACAGATAATCGATTTTCGTTTGAGAATGAACAGTTATTCTAGTAGGTTCGTTAACATACATCCCTAGGTCAAATGATAAAAACAAGTTAGACAGAATTTGCTGTGCCTCTGATCTGTCATCACTACAGACCGATCTCACTCCTGCCAGTTTTATCGAAGATTCTTGAAAAATGCATAGCTATACAAATATCGAGTTACCTAGAGCAAAATGACCTACTTAGTAATAGTCAGTTTGGCTTTAGGAGGGGCAAGAATACAACTTTAGCAATTTTAAAATTGGTAGAAGGTATAATGGAAGGTTTTGAGAGCTCTCAACACACAGTTACCACCTTCTGTGACCTGAGCAAGGCCTTTGACTGTGTCTCGCACGATATCCTGCTTAAAAAACTGCCTTTTTACAAATTTTCAAACGACAGTGTGGATCTAATAAAATCCTATCTGACTAAACGAACTCAGATTGTTAACTATAATGACATTAATTCGAGCGAACGAGAAATAAACATAGGCGTACCACAGGGCTCAATTGTCGGTCCTATTCTATTCCTAA